TGTAGGCGCAGTACCTTGCCTAGTTGCCTTGTGGTTGTAGATCACGAGTACCTTGGCGTACCTGCTGTGGCTGTAGGGCGGCGAGTACTTGGTGTGACCGTCTGGCTGCAGGCGCCGAGTACCTAGCGTGTCGTGTGGTTTCAGTCGCGATACCTAGCATGTCTTGTGTGTCAGTCGCGAGTACCTAGCATGTCTTGTGGTTGTCCAGGGGCGCGAGTACCTAGGCGTGTCTTGGCGTTTCAGGTCGCGAGTACCTAGCATGTCTTGTGGTTTCAGGGGCTCGAGTACCATAGCGTGTTTTGTGGTTCAGGGACGCGAAGTACCTAGCGGTCTTGTGGTTTAGGCGTGGAGTTACTAGCGTAGTCTTTGTGGTTTCAGGGCGCGAGTACCTGACTAGCCCTTTTTGGTGTTTTGTTTCTTTTTTTTTTTTTTTTTTTTTTCTATGGACGAGAACCTTGTCGTGTCCTTTTGTTGTTGCAGGGAACCAGATCCTTGCGGGTTCTTTCGTGGTTGCAGAGAGCGAGTACCTTGCGTGTCCTGTTGTGACTGTAGGGCGCGAGTACCTCGCGTGTCCTGTTGTGACTGGAGGGTGCGAGTACCTTGCGTGTTCTGTTGTGACTGTAGGGAGCGAGTACCTCGCGTGTCCTGTTGTGACTGTAGGGCGCGAGTACCTTGCGTGTCCTGCGGGTCGATGTTGGGCGTGCGCATGCCGTTGGTGCGCAGGATGTCGATGATCTCGTAGCGCAGGGAGGAGATGTCCTGGCGGATCTCCATGACGTCGTCCTCGCTGATGCCGAACTCGTCCCGCTTGCGCTGCTCCGCCGTCACGTAGCGCCGCACCAGCAGGTGCATCACCGTGTCGTGGCGCTCCTGCGCCTGGCCGCGCTCCGCGTCCTGCGGCACCACCCCACCCATTCCTGCGCTTGCCCACCCTTCGCGTTCTGCAGCACCACCCCACCCATTACTGCGCTTGCCCACTCTTCGCGTTCTGCAGCACCATCCCACCCATTCCTGCGCTTGCCCACCCTTCGCGTTCTGTAGCACCACCACAGCCCATGGCACACCGGGAGCCAAACGAGTTTTCGGAACGATCCTGTACGATACGACCGCGACATGAACAGTCACTTCTGGATGCTCTGAACTCGGATACACGGAATGAGTCGTTTCAGATGAACAAAACAATCAGCACAGTTTTACGTCGGTCAGTTAAAAGAAGTTTTGTACGGCATTTCGCTTTCTTTCTGCTCAGCGGTTTCTTGACAATTTCTATTACTTCCAAGAGCTTGCGCTTATAGTAAATGCAAACCCTGAGGATTGTTCTCAGTACGGTCTCAGAACACATGTACTAATTTTGGATGCAAACAAAGAAAAATGCAAATTTTGTGAATTGTGACGTGAATTGACGAATTGTGACGTGTGGGTGGCAATTACGAGGGTTCAATAACCTATGAGGCTATTGGAGTGATTTTGAATTAATTACAAGGATTTAAATAAGCTTAGCCGACACGGGTAGTCGCGATCGCTAAGGCAGCAGTGCCGTACCGATTTCGGGCCGAAGGATCACGGGTTCGAGTCTCGCATAGGGCATTATTTTATTAGTATTCGTCATCTCAGCCCTCATCATCACCCTCCAACTTCTTTCAGTATTCCTTGCCAAAATGTAGTGAAACCTAGCCCTTAATGGAATGTTAGTTGGCTAAATAAAGAAAATAAATAAAGGAAAGTGGTCTACACTCTACAGTGTTCGGCTCTCCGAGTGACGATGCAGTCGTTTCGAGTGTCGTGTCTTAGATTTGATGGACCACGACACAATGGACGAAGCGTCGGCACCTCCCGAACAGCCGTCAGGCCGCGGCCGTCAGTCCCTCCACATCACGATATTAAGAACATAGGTATAGGTAAATCGATATTATCGAAGATGAAACATGGATATATACTACGATGCCTTTTTTGGCAGTTTTCAATCATTTCCTTATTTTAAAAAGAAAAAGGATATGAGTGTGGGCGTAGAAATTGAAAGAAAACTATGTAGTCCCCAGATTTTGCAAAGGTCTCGCAGATTTCGTTACCCCGGAACGCGGAAAACTTACAAAATCAATGAAAGAGTCGATTTTCACTAGAAAATAATATTTATTGTTACTCTGCCTAATTGATTGTTTAAAAATGTTTTGAAGTCAACCTCATCTCATATTTGTATAAAATATACCAAAAGTATTATACCAAATCTTTTAATTCCTACATGATTTTAATTGTACAATGAAGATGAAAGTAGTGAGAATGTAACATGAAATTATCAACTTTACCCCTCAATCGTTATATTTACACTTGTTTCTTTTGAAGATATTTAAATAATGCATTGAATCATCTATAGCCAAGGAAATGATGTGGCTTTGAGTGCACGTGGGGCAGGACTACTCAGAGCAGTAGCCTTAGGGCTTCCGCTCAGGGCAAACGCGGGTGGCCCCCCGGGCTCCAAGCTCAGTTCCGAGAAGACTAGGCTCCTAGAGGCAAAGGGAGGGGGTGGTGAGATGTCCTGCGACACCCCGGCCTCTTTCCGGTCAGGGTCGCGTGGACAGAGCTCGTTTGGCAAGCCTGATGTCGCGTCGTGTGTTCCAACAGTGCAGCAGAAACACTTGAACGAACCGCTATTGTCGTAAACGCGTAAGTCTTCTTGACTTTCCACAGCGGGTTGGGAGTGCGAGATAATTCCTTTATTTCTCGTAATAGAAGCTATTGGGAGGGGAGGGTTCCGTCTGCGTTGAATCAGATGGTTGATGTTACAATGATGATACCACGTCCAACAGTGCGTCAAATGAAACAGTAAGCTTACGCGTACGGAGTCAAAAGATATTTGTGTGTGTTCTAGGCCCAATTTTCAAATACCTGCAATCGCGTGCCACTCATTATTAATATGAAGTTATACATGTCAGACAATATAATAGTAACAAAAAGAACATAACAAAGAAGTGAAAATAATTTGTGGATGATTAAATTGATTATTAATCAAATTTAGTGTTAAATAACTTACATTCATAATTATTATTTGCGTCCAAATATCTCAAATAAAAATAAAATGCAAGACTGCAAATCATAAAATGAATGCAAATTGTCATGGAGGTTACAGCTAGGGCTCTCTGTAAGAAGAAACTGTGGTCCTAGCGATGGCGTGCCGCCTGGCGGGCCGCCATCCAAGCCAGACAAGTTTCTTCCTCCAGTGTACCCTAACCAGAGATGTGCGTCTACTCGTAAAGAATCATAGTCTACGTCATCACGTGAACAACGCGTAGACAACGTACATTTCGTATACAAAAGTAATATATGTAGAAAACGGAAATATATCTTTTTTGAGGGGCAAGGGCGAATCTATGAGGGCTCCGACCCCATAGCTAACATTTATTTACAATAATTAAATATTAATAAATTGTGTAAAAACAAAGCAATATTACATATTGATTGGATCACATCCAAAGGAGTTCTACCGTTATGAATAAACATGTTTGAAAATTCAAGTTAACATTGTCGCGCTGCAAAAATATTTGTGGGGCTGTTGACAATCATGACTGGAATTGCCTTCCTCCCCTGTAATATAATCGTACCTATTGCGCCCGTCTCTATTACATGGGACTAAGAGGTTGGCGACATGATCAGGGATCTGAGCATCGGGTTGGTGATACTGCACTTGGAGGGTATGCAGAGTGGTCTGATGTGCAAGTTGAAACTAGTTCCTATTGATTTCATGAGATGGTTACGAAGGTTGTCATTTCTTCATTAGGAGTGATACATTTTGTTTAACTTATTCAATCGAAAATAAAATTTCGAATATTAAATTTCAAAATCCTTATACTATTACTACTTATTATAAACGTTTTTTGGGTTATATGATGGGGAAAATAAATAGTATTCACAGATTACGTTGTGTACGTAGTCTACACGTAAAGTGTCACGTCGACGTCATGTAGAAAACACGTATAGACACGCATAGAAAATTAGAGTCTGCGGCCCAACACTGCGCCGGCAGAGTCGGCCGAGGGAGGCTGGTTACCTGCGTGGGCGAGGGGTCGGTGCTGCGCTGGCGGCAGCCCAGCAGGCTGGCCACGCCCTTGGACGTCGGGATGATGTTGAAGGGCGGCGGCACCGTGTCGCCCTCCTCGAAGTAGCTCATCCACAGGTGCGTGCGCGCGAACTTCCACTCGGTGTCCGCTCGCTCCTGCGCCACGCGACAACGCACAGTTCCCTCTTTGCAGGCTGCGTTCCTATTCAGCACTTGACTAACTCATTGCGGTACCGCAACAGCAGCGTTCACAAATAACCAAAGGAGATGAACTGTTTCGTAGCGAGGTAGTCATAAATCCTGCAGAAGTACCAAACAGAGCGGGGGGTGGCCGCAATAAGCATAGAAAACGTGAAGTAAGCAGGGGTCCAACACAATCTCACAGGGAGAGATGGCTCAGGGAATCAACTGATGCCACTGCAGTGCCTCTAACCGGAAGGTCTTAGGATCGAGTCTCGACAGTGGTAGGATTTTCGATACTAGCTTATCAGCTAGTTCGAATTCCGTCGCGTCTGAAGGCGAATTCTAGCGGGCGGCTGCTCTGATCGGTAGTTCCCTAACAAATGGGCCACGGACCGACTTACACTAACTGCACTGCATCCAGACATCCGGTCTGAGTGTCTGGATGATAGGTCTGTGTGTCTGGATGAATGATCTGTGTTGTCTGGATGAATGTCTGTTGTGTCTGGATGAATGTCTGTTGTGTCTGATTGAATGTCTGTGTGTCTGGATGAATGTCTGTGTGTCTGAGATTGAATGTCTGTGGTGTCTGGATGAATGTCTGTGTGTCTGATGAATGTCTGTGGTGTCCTGGGATGATGGCTGGTGTCGGATGGATGTCTGTGTGTAGTGTCTGGATGAATGTCTGTGTGTGTGTCTGGATGAATGTCTGTGTGTGTGTCTGATGGAAGTCTGTGTGTGTGTCTGGATGAATGTCTGTGTGTGGTGTGGTGTCTGAGAAGTCTGTGTGGTTGTGTGTCTGGAATGAATGTCTGTGTGTGTGTGCTGGATGATGTCTGTGTGCTGATATGTGTCTGGATGAATGGCTGTGTGTGTGTGTCTGGATGAATGTCTTGTTTGTGTTGTCTGGAATGAATGTCGTGTGTGTGTGTCTGGATGAATGTTCTGTGTGTGGTGTGTGGATGAATGTCTGTGTGTGTGTGTGGATGAATGCTCTGTGTGTGGTGCGTGTGCGATGATGTCTGTGATGTGTTGTGTGCGATGAATGTCTGGTGTGTGTGTGGATGGAATGTCGTGTGTGTGTTGGATGAATTGTCTGTGTGTCGTGTGGGATGAATGTCTGTGTGTGTGTGGATGAATGTCTGTCGTGTGTGTGTGGATGAATGTCTGCTGTGTGTGTGTGGATGAATGGCTGTGTGTGTGTGTGGATGAAATGGTCTGTGTGTGTGTGTGGATGAATGTCTGTGTGTGTGTTTGATGAATGTCGGTGTGTGATGTTGTGGATGAATGTCTGTGTTGTGTTGTGGATGAATGTCTGTGTGTGTGTGTGGATTGAAGGTCTGTGTGTGTGTGTGTGATGAATGGTCTGTGTGTGTGTTGTGTGTGGACTGAATGTGGTGTGTCAGACATAATGAATTAGTATTTTTAGTCGTGTCGTTCCGAGATCAAATAAATATTTCAATTATTGACTATTTAAAAAATAAAACCTATGTGACATTTTCAAAATGCTTGGAGGGAAAAGGAAGTGATTTTTCTTAACATTTCCCCTCGAATAAAATAAAGTGGATTTATAACTATGGCATAGTTACGATTTTGATTGGTATATCTGAATTTTAAAAAAAAACTTGCAAAACAGGGATATGCTTTAAAAGATAATTATACCCAGATACCTTATTTTTAACCGGTTTAAAAAAAATAAAAACAAAATTGTAATAAAATTATAACATTAATAGAAAGAACGCATATTATTAGTCATTTTTCTTATTTCATTGTGGGTGAGAGGCAATTGATCTCTTGTTGCTTTGTGAATTAGATAAAAAATGGTGATAGAAGGAACAGATTCACGGAGTTTTGAAACTCTGCATGATTTTGTTGAGTGGGGGGAGCGGAGAATACGCGACCGTTTAAAGGTGTTTTTTCTTCATTTTTTTGCATGTATCTCCTTAATAATAAATCCTACTGAAAATTATGATCTACACAAAATTAAAGTAGATAAAAGTTAAGGCGTTTACCTGATAAGCCGAAATAAGCAGATCCCCTTTTAATTTTAATTTTAAAGCTTCTCTGTTGACGCTGCTGTCAATCATTCTGACTTACATGAGGGCATCACGAGAAGCCAATTTAGCATGACAGGATGAGTATGCCAGTGAACCGTTGTGGTGGCTCGTGGGGACGTATGGGGGTAAGGTAACTTGAGCTGCTTTTGCAGTCGCAGTGAGCACGTGACTCACCGAAATGATCTGGTAGGAGTTGGACATCATGGCGATGAGCATGTTGAGCAGGACGATGATGTTGATGACGGAGTAGGAGCCGAACATGAGCAGAGCCCAAAAGCGCGTGAAGCTCTTGATGCCCGTGAGCTCGAAGTTGGCCAGGTCCACCAGCCCGAAGCTCGCCCAGAACAGGGACTGCGACGTCTCGAACAGGCTGCGTACGCCCATGCGCTCAGACAGACATTCCTCGTCAAATCGCGCGCATTTAAGCAACATTTGAACTCGACGGCCTAGACTTTTAAACCTTGTTTACTTTCTCGTATACACGGAGGAAAATGCTTAGTATTACTCCCGCAACTTTTCTTGAACGATGACGTTGCTTCCCCCTCTCTGACACAAAAAACAGTTCAAGACAAAAGCTCGCAGCGTGCACTAATAACAACGTTCGAAACACATCTTTACTGAAGATGAAAATAGAAACTATTTTCCGTTAAAGACAACTTCTGACCGTGATTTTATCCAAAAAATCTAAAGAAATGACCGAAGGATGTGAAGATCTATCACAAGAGATACCTCAAACACCTAAGAAAGTTACAACGCAAATTATTGAGAAAATTGCGGAGACATGACTGATTCTGCAGAGATTGGCATTGCTTCATAAAATCTAGTGGCCGATTCCATAACTAATACTCCCACTCTACCCGCATTTCTTCAATCCATCGTTCAAGAAAAGTTCCGCGAGTAATATAGAGAAAGTTACGTAATGCTGCGCGCAAAAATAGTGGATTTTCGGAAAAAGTTCATTGCCGGGCCCTAACGAAGACGTGGTTAAATCTATGACTTCTAGGCTGTCCGGGTGACGCCGCGTCGTTGGCAGAGAGGCCGACGTTTCGCCTGTCATATGTAGTGGCAGGCTTCTTCAGGGTAGTGTTGGTCACATACCTGAAGAAGCCGTGCGATTACGAATGACAGGCGAAAACGTCGGCTCTTCTGCCGTACAACGGCGGCGTCACCCGGACAGCGCGAGACGGGTGTTTGGTCACTATCCTGAAGAAGCCTGCGATACGAATGAACAGGGCGAAACGTGGCCTCTCTGCGAAAAACGGGAGTCACCCGGACAGCCGAGACGGGTAGTTTGGTCACTACCCTGAAGAAGCCTGGGATACGAATGACAGGCGAAACGTCGGCCTCTCTGCCGACAACGCGGCGTCACCCGGACAGCCGAGATGCCATGAACTCGAGCCGCGGAAGCCTTCGTGTACGTGGTTACATCTAGTTGCTATATTAAGAAAAAATCCTCTTGAACGTGGCGCAGCCAGAATCCTGTTTTGTGGGTCCTTGATACTGAAAAACTAATTGACGGCATAAAGTCTGTCTGTCCGTGAACACCATTTGCGCCTAAACCGCGCAGAGAATTTTTTTTCAAATTAAAGAAACTCCCTGTCCATCTGGCTGGAGCCAATGCTTTGAGATTTTGAAAAGTTTTCTTTAAAATTTTGTGGTACATGAAGCCCCATGGAAATTGTCAAAAGTTTCTCAAAAACGCCTCAAAGAATAGTCAAATACACTTATAATAGTGACGTAGGTACTGTTTTTAAGATTTTACTCTGAATTTTCGAAAATTTCAAAGCATTGATTTTTTTCCATGTGTTCCTACAACTAAAAAAATTGAAGAGATTTTTCCTTATGGTGTAATTTGTTGCACATACACCTAATTCTTTAGTTAAGCCATGTTTTTTTTTGAAAATTATAGTATAAAATTTGGGGATACTTTACGTGAAGATAGAGATTTTTCTTTCAAATTAAATTTGTTTTCCATAATTAGATCTTTCGTAAAGATCATGTAAATATATCTTTTAGTAGTTTTCGCGCAAGTTCCGCGAGTTTTATTTGAAGTTTTGGTAGGAATAGTGCGAAATGAACTCTATGAGACTACATAAATGCCATATTGCTATGTTTTTTATGTTTTTTTCAAAAATTACAAAAATATACTTTTTTTGACTTGTTTTTCACGACGTTTGTATTTATATTAGCGGCAATTTGTTCATATTATTGTATTTATGTGCACATGTTCTTTAAAAACTGTCATTTAAAGTTTCCCTAAAATTTGACCGTTTTGTATAAAACCTTGCTCAAAATTTTCCATTTTCAGAAACGCTCAAACGCCATTTTCTCAAAGTCTCCAAATTTTTATTCAAACTTTTCGAACGGATAGTGTTAATTTCAGTCTTTAATATGTTATCTCAATTTGTATTGTATCTCAATTTTTTGTAACAATAGGCACTGACCCTATTCGAGAAATGTCTGTTAACATTATCATAATCTTATTTGGAAAAATATGAGTTAACGCTGAAAAAGATGAGCGGAATTCGTGTCTTGTTTCAAGCATTCAGAAAAAGCAATTGTTGTTTGATAATTAATTTTTTTTGAAAAGTACAACAAAAAGGATGGAGGGTGGCTTAGTCAGTACTCAGAGTTTCGTCGTGAAGTACCAAAGAAGAATTGTTTAAATATCACACTGGACAAGGAAAACTACTGATGTCAAACTTTATTTTGTCTCGTTTAGGTACCTAATTTTTTGTGTTGCAGTATATGAGTGTGGCAATAAGGTATCCGAATTCGATTTTTTGTCTAGTAACTAATTGATTGGTGATTGAATTGTTTCTAAGTTGAATAATTTTTAACCCAGTATTTGTTAGTGATGTTTTCTCATTTTTTATTCATATAATCTCTGTAACTACTATCAAACGAGATGTTCAGGTCATACCGGACAGTTATTGAAATAACAAGCTGGTAACTATTCATTCAGTTACCATTTTCTCACTATTGAATAGACATCTTTGCAACAAAGGAATCGAGTTTTTTTCATGCCAAGTCCATCGATTACTTTGTTTATTTGATTGTTTTTGGAATAAGGGTAATATATTGTTTTCATTTTTCATTCATCTGACTGCTATCTGAATTTCTTCACGACGTAGCAGAGGGTTTTTCTACACTAAATACTTTCTTTTCAAAGGCCTTTTTAATTTTCTGAGATTTATGCGGATATTATTTCTGTTTTAGTTTAATTTTGCTAATAGGGATTTCTCCGAGAGACACGAACTCACGTTTCGTCTTAAATGTTTGTTATTTACGCGACGCCGCCTGGAGTAGAAGACTAAATGAACTCGGTTCGTTTCATTATTATCATGCTATACATTAGGGTGAGCATGCCTTACCAGGATTAGCTATGTACGTTTGTTCATCATTGTCGCTGTCCGATATATTTGCGGCATTCGCAAGTTTGAACAATTCTCATTTTCTTGTAAATCGTTCACCTGACTTGTAATGAGAAGACATTTTTGAGACCTTTTTTCCAATACATGTGACTTTTTTTACGGCAAAGTCAATTTTCAACTTCTCAAGAATGTTGGTTGTAACTAAGCAGACGTACTCATCGTAACTTTTTATATTATGATGTATAAAATAACATTATTGATATTTGTGGAAAGATCACCTCTAAGATCACCAGCTTCACAGAACAACGCATGTGTTTCTCGGATCCTTCTGTGTACACAGGTGACTCGGTATTTGAGAAAGAAGACTGCGCCCTGTATTAAGGAGAACCTAGTAGTAGCAGTTGTTTCTAAATTATATTAGATTAGATTTATTACTAATTATGCAACTAAATTTGAGACTTTTGTGGCAGAATAAACTAACATAACATTAAAGAACTTAACGACTTCACAAAATTTACAAATTAACTTGAACATTTCACCGTCCAATCTTTCATAGCACTCCACCTCACCACACTTCACTTCACCGCATTGCGGATCACTGAGCTGAAATGTCTTTCTTACACACTCGTTTCCCTCAAATTCACAACGCCACTGCACTGCACATAATAATATTAAATATAAATAATAATAATGATAATAGTAATAATGATACCACAATCTTTACGTAGTGGATTAATAAGTTAATAGTTTTAAAGATATTTATAATACACATATCAACATCTAAGAAACGACTTTATTTTTAAATTTGCTCAGGCATTGAGGAAAGAGATCAAAGCTTGGCACTTGAAAACCGTTCCATTCTCGGATAGTTCGATTCACGAATGAATATTACCCACCGTCCGTTTTCTGAATTAAAAAAGAACCCAAGAATAATGTTACGACAGAAATCTTCCATTCGTGAAGCTTTTGCGCTCTTCCGATTGTGCGCGTGGTTCTACGATTCATAACAAGACATAAGTAAATCATTTACGTATCGGCCTTGGGTGAAAATTTTAATTTTAAAAATTAAATTAATTATAAATACTTAAGCAATATGTACACAAAAATATATGCACATCATATGAAAGGACATATTTTTAGATTTTATTTAAGCATATTTGTATTATCCTGCAGGAAGAAAAGATGCGTGAATCATGTTTAAACATTAGCCAAATAAGAATTCTTTTGAATAAAATAATATTTCCAAAAGGAGGGGGATTAGAAGAAAGAGATGATTTGAGGAAAAAGAAACAATTTGTGACCCCTTTCAAACCTAGACCTAATAAAAAAGTTTCAAGTCGCTGAAAATAGTGATGTTTTATGAGTGTGCAAATGGAATCACGCAGGTAGAGTCCATCTTCTTGTTTCATTCTTTATTTTTCTCGCACTCTCCCTCTTTCTCGCACTCTCCCTCTTTCTCGTTCTCCATCTCTCTCATTTTCTTGATCTTACTCTTTCTCTCCTCTCCTTCTTTTTCTATTGCTCCACTTTTTATCGCTTTCCCTCTTTCGATTGCTTTCTTTCTTTCTATAGCCTCCCTCTTATGCTCATTTTAGCTTTCCTCTCCCTCGTATTCTCATTCTACCTTTTTTCTCCCTCCTTTTATCGCTCACGCTCTCTTCTCCCGCGTTTCCTCGTTCTTGCTCTTCTCTCTTTTTTTGTTCTATTCTCCCTACTTTTCTCCTCCTCTCCCTCTATTTCTCGTTCTCGGACTCCCCTCCGTCTTTTTCTCGATCTCACTTTCATTTCCTTTTTTTATCGCTCTCGCTCTCCCTATTTTTTTCTTGCTCTCCCCTCCCTCTATTTCTCGCTCTTGTTCATCTCTCCCTCTTTATATCGCTCTCTTCTCTTTAAAATTCCCGGCCACATCTCTGCTGTAACGTGTGCAGGCCTATAACTGAATAAATAAGCGGTAACGAGCATCATGAAACGATAGTCGGTACGCGTTTGATGAAGGTCCGTCCGAACTTGCAAGCTTACATCCCAAAATAACAACGCGAATACCCCTGTCTCTGACGTGAAACACATGAAATTCGCGTATGCCGGGAGTTCCTTGTTCGAAGGGCTTGTTTTATTTTTCTGCCGGTGCGAAATGGACGCCTGCGTTCCCGTCACCGGTCGTAAATGCCCGGGGCCCTGCCTCGCCGTTTCCAGCGCCGTTTCGTCGGCGGCGGTACTACCCGAAACGAGAAAACGCGCGGCGGCGCTCCGCGGCTCCTTACTTGGAGAAACGCCGCCAGATGGAGCACGCCTTGTCCTCGTGGTCGTAGTCCGGCAGGCCAGTGGGCAGATGGTAGCACTTGCTCCTCTCCAGATCGGCGTAGTACCAAAGCAGTTGGTTCATTCCTGTGCAAAATCATGTATTAATCTTTGCCAGAGGAGAGGTTACTCATAATTGATTTTTATAGGTTTCAATTTTTTTAGGATTTGAAAATCAATGATATTGTTTGTGAAGTGCTCTTTGATCCAAATAAGGGGGAGATTAACTCCGCCTTATTTGGATCACAAAGCACTTCACAAACAATAGCAGTGATTTTTATTGACACAAATGTTTGTTATTATTTGAGCAATTAGACCGTCTTTGGCTGTGAATAAAAAAATTGAACTATTCGTCGAAAAAAAGGATGAACCTCCTGAAACCAGTTTGGAAATGTTTGTAGTATTTTAAGTATTAGTGCCAGTGGAGTAACTGAAGCGTATTCGAGATAGGAATTTGTATTTAATAATATATATTCATATAATTGCACCAATCATGATAACACAAAACTTCAATTCAAAGTTAAAAATGGGCCAAGCATACCTCTGGCATTCGATATCTTAGGCAGTACCGACGCATCATGTAATAATACGCGGTGGACCACCTAAGTTATCTTGAAAACCGGTTTGAGGTATGGAGATACCGAGAACACGCAAGGTACTCGCACCATACAATTACAAATGACAGAAGCAGTTGACCCCACCAGTAATCAATCATCTAAGGATGTTAAAAAAAAGTGCACTACGAATTCCTTCGAAGATTCAGAGTACTAATACATGTAATATTTAAAATGAAAGTTTTGCGTTGGCGTTATTTCACAATCGTTTGGTGCAAGAATATGAAAACGTATAACCGTCCTCGTTTCGTAACAGATTTACACATTGGAAAATCAAGTTCAGTCAATGCTTGTAAATCGTATTTTTAAATGAAAATAATCAATACTACAGAAAAGGTGAATTCAAATAGCACCGGACAATGATGCCAATGCCTAAAAATACATTCGTAATGTCGATTATCCAAGTTACTATATTGCAGTTGAAACAAAATTAATTTTACTCTTTATATATCTTTCCAACAAATGAAACACACATCCTATAAAGTTATTAACCTTGCACCCATTTCTCACAGAAATACTAAATACAATCTTAAACAAGCATTTCCATATAATTCAGTGGAGAATTAATAGACTATATACGTGAATTAAATTTACTTCAAAAGAACTGTAACTTCGCCGTAATATCTTTTCAGGAAACAAACCTCAAACTAGTGTTAGAAAACCATGAAACTTCTTACATTTGTAACTGTTACGTAACATTTAACCGAAATTTCTGACAATATTAACACGTCTCAGCCATTACAAATAAAGTTGTCAGAAAGTAATATTGTCAAAGTAATATTGTCAGAAATTTGATCTTGATCTAATACGCATGATTAATCGTAACGTGTTAGGCGCAACAAGGTAATTCATTTAAAACTAATACATCAACACAACTATAAATTCAACGATCCAAAACTGCGGTCCATATGATTAACGACTTCATATTTTGTGTCAAACTCTATGTAAAGTTGAGTTATTTTTAATATTTAATTACTCCGTTGACACGTTCCGTTGTTTTTAATATTATGGTGTATCGAATGGTGTATCGAAAAGTTTGGAATTTATGTTTCAAGTCTTGATCTATATATTTAAGACAATTTTCACTTGATATCTTTTATCTATTTACGATGAAGTATAGCCTACTAGTTATATTAAATAGTTGCAATAAACATTGCTTTTCTGTTCATCATTTGTAAGAAAGAGCAGTTTTTCAGTTTAAACAGAGTATGAAAGAATCGTTCTTTGCCCTTCCATGTAAACGAATTCTTTGATAACTGAAATTCATCAATATCTAAATATTTTTTTATTATCCGTCGCAGATGTTAATAAAAAAATGCTTCCTCTGTCACTGATGAAATGTGAGATGCGATTATGAAAATCTGGCTTTCTCTACTCATCAACGTCTTAATATTCTCGTGAAAGCTTTGGAACAATTATCACGCGTGGATGCTTTCTTGACACCGATTTCCAATTAAAGTAGAAATTCTTAACAATGAGTATAGATCATAAAAGTTTTTAAAATAGGCAACGATTAGTTTTTTAACCCCTCTTCAGGGCGATTTCTTGCATGGCGACCATAAGCCTTCTAACGAGGATGAGCCGTTCCCTTTCCCTCTCCCTACCGACGCCCTCCTCTCCCCCACACTTCCCCGCTCTTCACTTCTCCTCCCACACATTTTCCTGCTCCCTCACTTCTCTCTTCCTATCACTTTCCTCTCTCCCCACTTCCTCTCTCCCCCACTTGTCGCCTCTCTCCCCTTCGCCTTCTCCCACTTCGCCTCTCCCCCACACTTCGCCTCTCCCCCACACTTCGCCTCTCCCCCACACTTCGCCTCTCCCCCACACTTCCCCACCCATACTTCCATATCCTTCCCTCATAGTTCCTCACACAGTTCCTCTGCCGCCGAGTCGTTCCGTTTCGCGCGCCCGCCCGCTCTCTCATCAGCAGCGATGCCGTCTCCGCCGCGTTGCGCCGTGCATGCGAGTGAGCACGCGGGGCGGCGCACTTTACACTGAGCTCGGCGTCGGCGTCGGCGGCGGGCGGAGGGTGAGGGTGAGGCCTAGGGGCTTTGGGGAAGCGACGAGCAGATTATTCGGCGCGCATCCACACGACGCGAGCGCGTGACGCCGCCCGCCAACCTAGGTTTGCACGGGAGGGGGCGAACCCCCGCCCCTCTGCCACATTGTACCACGTCCTGGGCGTCGTCTGGCGTGCTGGCTCCGCCACTGGGTGTTTCTCATCACAACTTCCGTGTACTGACACTTAGAGGGTGGAAACGCACTGCTTTCATATAATAGTGTTTAATATGTGCGACCGACGGTTAGACGGACGGACTGACGGACAATGGGCAAGCATACGTCTTGGAGTAAACACATTTTTCGATATCAACGCCCCACAAAACGTTGTTTCTGACTACACAACGTGTAAAAGGAAGCAATTTACTGCGTATAGAAATAATTTTTTTCGTGGAATAGAGACTCATATTATTTATTTTTGTGACAAAAATTGTCTAATTTCGGATGCTACATTACAATACTTTTTCTATACTACGTAAGTATGTACTATGTAAGAAAGACAAAGCAAGGTACACAAGTTGTGACAGCAAGCGCGTGAGTGCGGCGAAAATATTTCGGGCTTTCGGTAATATTGGTTTTAAGTAACGTGACATTAAGAATTATAGAATATTGATTCTATCTTATGTGGAGTTATTTTATACAATGTCGACTAATCACTCTGGAATATGACACCCTGTAACGTTTTTCAATTTTCTCTAGTCATTTAGAAAATTCAGCACTTTTTTTCCCTATTTTATTGCTGTCTAAGCACGTCATTTTGATGTATTTTTAATTTTCTCTGTGAGCATTTGTTTCTTAGAAATATTTCACCATTAAACGATTTTGCTTGTCGGATGGTTGACAGAAATTGTGACTTACTCCGAAACCCATTTCAATCGCGTAGCCGATGGCATAACTCGTTAAGCGCTGTCTTTTTTTATTTTGGATTGAATAATACAAAGATCAGTGTCATCAAAACACTCTACATTTGTTAATGTTGCTTAAATCTACGTAAAATTAATTTACAATAAACTTGCTACTATTTTTTGACAAGTTGATTTTGTTTTTGGCTGACCAGTTGTCGATTTGGTGTAGGTATAACTGCAGATTGATTTTTATTGTGTTTATGGAGGGACCAGAAGAATATATAGCGGTGCCATCTTCAAAATGTGCGGTTTTTATATTGCTATGTTTTGGTAGGTCGGCTACGTACAGGTTATAAAGAGTGGGAGATAACGTGGAACCTTGGGGAAGGCCTGCCTAGACTGCTTTTGGATTAGAATGATGGTTATCGACTGTAACGGCAAACGTTCTATTGTTGAGGAAGCTGGAAATTATTTCAGTAAGATAATGTGGAGTGCCTATTTTTTATTTTGTAGTTTAAATCTCGGTGCCATGTTCTATCAAAGGCCTGTGAAGTGTCTAGAAAGATTGTTATTGTGTGATGGTTGTTTTTGAAATGCCGTATGGATGATTTCAGTGATTCTGAGATGTTTGTGATGCGTGGACACGTTCTTGGTGAATCCCATTTGTTCCATAGGTATAAACTTTGTGTTGTGGAGGTGTGATTTAAATCGTTTCAACATTATTTTTTCTAGTAGTTTAGATAACGTGGGACGCAAACTGATCGGACGGTAACTATTGGTTAGAGATGCATTCTTATAGGCGCTGTCTAGGCGAAATTTTGTTCAGTATTTAAATACACTGAACTTCTTAATATTATGACAGGAAGCAGTGAACTGCCTGATATTTTAGACGTCTGTGAAATATTGCATTGTGTAATGAAATAGTAGGGTCTGCAATCCATTCGGGACTTCGGAAACCTCTGTAAGGAGGTGTGAAGCACTCAATGGAGTGAAAGCATCTAAGAGAGAACTACACGAGGGGTTTTGAGCTACTTTTCTATACAATTAGGTTTGAAAATAAAAACTTGACCAAAAGATGAAAGAAAATCTGTCGAATATTAGCGATATTCCATGACAATCAAACTCTACCACAATAACACTTAATTACGTTGTGGTTTATTGTAAATGATCTTCCCGAAATCACCTCTATTGTCTTTAACTAATAAAAAACAATACTTTATTACATAATTTAATATATCAGAATCATGACCAACCGTCGAAGAAAAACAATTAACAATGAACTTTTCATTAAAGAAATTTTTGCGGAGCGAAATAGTGACCAAATTTGCCCTTACCGCATCCAAAGGCGAACAGTACGAGAGAATAGATGAAGAAGAACTTAAGGATGTCGATGATCATGCGGCCCAGAGAGATTTGGAGAGGGCCTAAGTGGGGGTTCACGCTGAAGATGTGGACCAGCTTGAGGAAGCTGAAACATAATGTTTGTATGCTATTCAAGGCTCTTTGCCATTACTTTACAAAAAATAAAAGACCGTTCTTGCGAAATGAGAATACTTAATTTTATTGTCTAACTAATATACAATTGCATTCTGATTTGAACCTTCATCAGAGATTTTCATAAAAAAATCAATTTTGGTACGTTCAGAGATTATTGCGCTGTAACTCAACGCACAATCCCATCCAGGGGAAAAATGATACCTTCGCCACATGCCAATTAGTGGCTTGAAGCTGAAGGTAACCAGATAAACTGGTTTTCTGGATAAAAATACAACAAATTAAATCGATACTAATATATAAAGAGACAGATGCGATGAATTACAGCGCAATAATGTTTGAATGCACTGAACCAAAATCGATGGAACTTTTGACCTAACATCGTTTGAAGGGCAAGAGTGCTATAGGCTATGATTTACAACCATAAACTTTAATATTTTCTGAAAATAATTATTCTTTTGGACTTTTTTTGCCAAGCATTACATCGTGGACTTAAGAGAGTATCAATGAGCAATAGTTTAGCTGCGCGCCACCAGAGGAGGACGACTGAGTTCGTCGACGTTTGAGTTCATCAGTGCAAAGAATTGCGTATAGAGTAGGAGAGGTCTGTTTGTTTATTTCTACATTCCGAATTCCAGGCTAATCCGATTTTTTTTATTTAAGAACGGTTCTGATAGTTTTTCTACCCTCTATATATAAAAGTAATTTGGATATTGATATAAATTCCTTCTAAGATGTATGTATTAATTGTACATAGTCTTGAATGTATTAAGTGTACAAAATATATGAAATTACCACTGTGGATTTTTGGGGATATAATTGACTATGCAGTTTAATGGCACCTATATTCGAGGAATTTATTATTCGAGAAATCCGATTATCTGAGGGAGGCCAACCCTGCCTACGCCGAATAATAGAGATTTCATGATAGTTCTGTAAATATATTGTTGAAGAGGTGGTTGCATGGACAGAACGATATATAGGTGATTAGATAAATGGAATAGAGATTTTATGACAGATAGGTATGATCTTGACTCTCCGGGGCAAGCAGCCCCTGTGTCGTGATGGCTGACGTTCAGGTCAACAAATTACAGTATTCCTCAGAAGTGCTGCCACAACATGTTGGCCGAAACGTCAGCCCTTACGTTGGAGGCGCGACTCGCCCCGGACAGCCAACGTCATACAAACCCCGGCCGCGGAAGCCTACGCTATAATAATGGATTGATGATTGGATACGTGATTGTATAAATAGCAGAGAGATCGGACAGGTGATCGGATGGCAACGCACCTGAAGATCATGCCGGCCGCGAAGGCGCCCTCCGACAGCAGCATCGGGTCGAACGGGTGCCAGCGCTCGCGCGGGTACCACGGGTTCAGCCCGCTCGCCGCCTCGCGCTGCAAGCAGCCACAGTCACCACCAATCACACAAGAAACGTTTTGTTTCGCTAACTAATTGCTTCAGATTTCAAAGCTTTGGTTCTTTTGGACACACGTTAGGGCCCCTTCACACGGCACCGCTCAGAAGCGCTTCTGAGTGGCGCGTCTGCTGGCAAAGCATTGTTTTAAATGAAGGTATCCACACGAGCGGCATAGTCGCGCTGTTGTGGCGAACTCCCGCCGCCAGCAGCTCAGACGCACGTCCGTGCTACCGCCAGTAGAACATGGTTCTAAATGGCTGAATTTACGCTAGACGCGCCACGGTACTAGTTTTTGCGGGCTGGCTGCCTTTCGGAGCCCACAGCGGTGTGACTCACGAAACCTTCTCTCATGGTCATTCAGCCGCTGTGTGGAAGAGAATTCTAGCGGCCGGTTCCTCTAAAAGGGTGTTAGGGCTCCTTCACACGGAACCACTCAGAAGCGTTTCCGAGTGGCGCGTCTGCTGCAAAGCATTGTTTTAAATGAAGGTATTCACACGAGCGGCATAGTGGCGCTGTTGTGGCGAACTCCCGCCGCTAGCTGCGCAGACGCATGTCCGCGCCACCGCCAGTAGAACACTGTTCTAAATGGCTGCTTTTACACTAGACGCGCCACGGTATTGCACTAATCGGTAGTTTTCTGTGTTTTCTCCGATCAATGCTTGGCGAATGTTGAAGCAGTACCCTTACAAACGAACCACGGACCGCAGCGATATTTTCTCCCTCTTCCTTGTACATTCCATTACATTCATCCTTTACTTTCACACACACACTGACATGCCCTATCCCTACACGTTGGGGGCCTAGAGATTTTCCCGGATGCGGCGTTGCCCCGCTGGTGGGAGATACCTTATTGGGGAAATCCTTGCAAGCCAACGTGGGTCGTAGTCGGATCTCGCCAAACAGTGTGGGGAGATCACCGCTACCTCCCGCGATAAGAACATACATTACACTAACGGGACTAATTATCATAGCAATCGACGTGTTCGCAATCACGAATCAATCTCTCGTGATCAGTGGCGGTCGGCGGTGGCGGCGTGTGAAGGGTCCTGCCGCCTCTAGGTGGCGCCACCCGGTGGCTCCGTGCGAAGGCCGCCCTAGTTTACATTTAGATGGGAGTGCCATGGACGCTCCGGGGTCCAATTCAGCTCCCATTTTCCTTACACAGAGATTCCGCCCAACTGTAGTTCTAAGCAGATGAGGGATATGGAGGAATGAACACGGGTAGTTGCGTTTTCGTCACCTGAACAATATACCACGAAGTGAGTCTTAGGCAGATCCAGATCATGTAGAAGCAGTTGGTGATGAAGTCGACGATGTTCCACAGGTCCGTGATGTACTCGAGCAGCCCGTCTTTCCACAGGGCGCGGATCTCGCACCACATGAGACCTGCGGCGCACAGCGAAAGCACAGGGGCTCAGTAGCATGCAATGGGATTCTTTCGTGTTGCCATATTTTCTGATGGCGTTTAACTCTAACATTACCAAGGTGTAAAGAGTTCTGCGGTTACCAAAAGGGTGCTTTCGGAGCCCTCCGCTCAAATTTTAATTTTACTGATACTTTGAATAATTTTATTGATTTAATATTTTAATAGTAATATTAAACGATTTAACAATACATTGATAAATTGATAAAACTAATGATATTAATGTGCGTTAATGTTTGAAAAAAGTTCAATTCTTGACTCTACAAATGACAAGATAATCAACTTTCTCGCATCAACACTTGCATTCAATGTCAAAACTATTGGAAACTAATGCTGGAGAAAATTATTCTAAATATAATAATACTAGAAAAATACTAGAACTTTGTGGAAACGAACATCAAAACCTTCTACCTACCCGGAGATTAGCCTTGACAAACAGACAATCTAATAATTTAAAGCATTTTAATGATATGTAAATAACCGTATTCATAAGTTAATAAAAAGACAGTTGTTTGGAAATCTCAGACCATGCAATTCAATTTTATTAATATAGAAATGCAATACCATTTATTTCATTCATGAATGTGTGCCTGATTTAATATGTATTATGGTGTTGATAAAAAAATCTTGAGTGTTCCAGATTAAAAAAAAAATACTGCAAAGGATAATTACAAAACCTCGTTTCTTTGTGTATCTCTGTAAGTGACAGAGTAATATGTTTTAATAACTGTGGATGGGATATTACGCAAAAAATAATGCAATGTAATCAATATTGTCTAGAAAGAATGTTTGTAAATATTATCTAGTAATTTTTGGGTAGTTGTTGCGAATCAAAATTTTTGGACAACAAAAAATCAATTACTGATTACTTCAATGTAGTCCACATAAGGTATTTAAATTTTTAAATCATTTTCAAGATTATAATAGTGAATAGAATATTAAGTTGTCTTTCAGGAATATCCAGAGTGAAATCTTCCAGAGTGATCTTCTTTTATCTTCTTTTAATCCAGGGAGATTTTATTTTATGTGTGGATTGCGGAACTGGTTTTGCTATTAAACAACAATTAATGATAGACAGTATCTCAATGAAGGATTTCAGAATATCATCTGAACTTTGATGAGTCGGACATCATCTTTTCAAAATTGGTCTGTGGTTGAAAAAATATTCAAATGCCTCCACGCGCGGTAGTAAAACACTCTAAAATGTTCATGCATAAACATTAAAATATCTTTGACCATTAAAAGATATTTGAATCTAGTAAATGCATAAAATGTTTTATTCAAATTGTTGCGGATGCCTACGGACATTTTACATGTAAATAAGAGCATTAGTGGTATCAAAGCCGCGAGAACCTCAGCAAATGACAGAATTGTGCTCGTTAAGTTTTCATGTTATTCACAGCTTTTTGACGATCTGGAGTACTCTCTTTGAATATAATGAAAACAATATGGACTGGGGTTAATTTGCCATCGAATAATTTGAAGGAAAATTTGTTTCCCTTTATGATAATGATGCTAGTAGTGACCTGGAGGCTGCTCGCTTCTTTTATACCAATTCTATTTTCTGTCCAGGTGATGGGAGTTCAGGTTTGCAATTGCCTTCCACAAGATGACTGGTGGTATGAGTGATCATTAAAGGGATGATGCTTGAAAAACGGGATTGTAGTGGCTTCAGAAGCGAACTACGTCACCACTATATGCTACGTGACTAGGCAGTGCACGACTTTTGTCGGTATTTTTCATGAAATTTTGACTGTTACAGTTGAAACTGTTACAGTTTTGTACGAACAAATACGTTTTTACATTGAAAGTAAAAGTAAGATAAGTGAAATTCTTTACGGAATAAACCTAAATAAATTAAACTCAATGGAATAAAAAAATCGAGTGCAATTGAATAAAATATGAAGTAAACAGAATGAAAATTGGAGTTATTGTTGAGAAATTAAACATTAGTATAAATGTATTAATTATGATAACGCATGTTAAATTAATATTTTTATACTGTGATTAATTTGGTTTTTATGTCATATTGAAGAAATAGGTAAGATATATTTTCTATGAGGCTCTTAGTTTATGTACCAGGTTGATAAAAAGCTATGTAGATATATCTTTAAAACCATTCTTTTAAGCAAGAGATTTGAGAATTTAATAACTCACATAATTTGAAAAATATCCGTTCTGAACTCTCTGTAGCATTTATGAAAGGAATGGAACGAAAATATTAGAGACATTTCAAAGCAACAAAGTAAAACATTTTTTTTAAGATAATACATTTACAAACTTAATTATCATGAAACTGTGATGAATATTTTGTTCTTACAAATATTGTCTTTCAATATGGTTCTCAAGATTCTCGGCACATAGAGGTTTTGATCTTGCGCACTATATTTTTGCCATGCATTCCTTGAGCGTCTTCCCGAGTTTAGAGGTGGAGAGTCTACTCATGGGGGTTTGGGACTCATGACTTGTAGTAGAACAAATAAAAGATAAAGAGCTAATGAAATAAAAATAAATTGTAAACTTGGAATATAAAAATAAAGTACAAAGGAAATGAAAGAAACAGAAAAAGGCTGAAAGTCGCATCGGGAAGAAAAGGCTGAAAGTCGCATCGGGAAGAAAAGGCTGAAAGTCGCATCGGGAAGGAAAAGGCTGAAAGTCGCATCGGGAAGGAAAAGGCTGAACGTCGCATCGGGAAGGAAAAGGCTGAAAGCGCGATAAGAAAGTGAGCAGCGAATGCGGGAAGTGGGGAACACTCACTGAGGATGTATCCCATGACGCAGAACTCGACGGGGCCGGGGAGGGAGCCGCGCTCCTTGCGGTGCCACTCCTCCAGCAGGCGGCGCATCCAGCGCGTGCCCATCCACTCCAGCAGCAGCACCTCCACGCGCTGCGACGCCGCCGCCAGCAGCGCTGCACGCACGCACGCGCACGCGCGCATACTCGTGCAGTCGCCGCAAGTGAGACTCGCGAGCGAGCGGCACTACTTTGCGGCTCTGATCCTTGAGACTAGCCTTTCTTAACGAGTCAGGTTGGGGGCATTTTTAATTTTTCAAGTTGCATTGACAGCTGATCATTAACGACTACATAAATTTACAATTAAACTCGGCTCAATATACAAACAATCTCTAAATCGTTTGTACATGCTAGAAAAAAAACTGTACATCAATTCTTTAAGGGTCTCATTTCGTTGAAATTTTGTATTAAAATATTTATTCATTAAAACTACCGACTGCCAAAATTAGATCAATATTGTTGTATATAAAAAAGTATGGATAAATATTATTTATGGTTTGCAAAAGTTCTTGTACATTCGATTTTGTTCACAAGAGAACGAGAACAACATCTACGAAATAACGATTACCTCTATCGAATGCGCTGCAAATGAAGATTTAATTTCACAGAGACCTTTTGGTCCATCATTACTCGTGTAAGTCACTGGCTTTCATGAGCTACTCACTTAAGAATAAACAGACACCAATCATTCCCAACCATACTGCTACTCCGCGGGTTCGTTGATTTCTCAAAAGAACCCACGGTTCAAAATCGACAAAATTGTAAATCATTCCGTGTTGCGTGCGCAGACTTACTGAGGAAGAATGCGTAGGAGGAGGAATGGATGATGAACTTGACGAAGGGCTTCTTCATGAACTGGCCCATCCGGGAGTTGGGCGCGAACATGTAGATGGCGCTGTACACGGGGAACATGGAGCCCAGCTTGGCCACCTCGAACAGCTGCTTGGCCATGCCCTTGCGGCGGAAGCCCGGCAGCCCCTCGTACCAGATGGCCGCCAGCAGCTGTTGCACGTTGTGGTGCGCCACGAACTGCAAACGGAAACAAATGTTTGCTTCGAGTTGAAATTACTTTAAGCCTAGTACTTTATGGCGCTCAAGTGGGACTACACCGTTTTGCCTGGTTGTACTTGATGGCGAGAGAGAGGGCCTAAGCACCTTCTTCTTCTTATAATGACAAGCGAGAGGGATTACGCACCTTGATTTGTGTGTCCTTGATGGAAACTTAAAGGAACTTCACACCTTATTCTGCTTGTACTTGGACGTCAGGAACTTCTTGTTTTCTTCCGCTATAATTGATGGCGAGCTAGAGAGACTACGCCCATTCTGCTTGTGTGTAATGGAGAATGGAGAGCGAGAGGGAACAAACATATTTGCTTGTAATTGTTGGCGAACGAGAGATACTATGCACCTTAATCTGCTTGTACTGGATGGAGAGCGTGAGGGTCAACGTACCTTCTGCTTGTACTGAATGGTGAACGACAAGAACTTCTTACCTTCTTCTGCTTGTACTTGATGGTGAACGACAAGAACTTCTTACCTTCTTCTGCTTGTACTTGATGGAGAGCGCGAGGGTCAACGCACCATCTTCTGCATGTGTTTGATACAAGGCAAGACATGCGCACCTTCTTCTCTTTGTACTTGATAGCGAACGACAGGAACTTCTTACCTTCTTCTGCTTGTACTTGATGGAGAGCGGGAGTGACTACGCACCTTCTTCTGCTTGTACTTGATGGCGAGTTTGAGTCGCTCGAGCGTCTGCCGCTCGCCGGGCTGCCAGGGGTCTCCGTCGGGGCAGTGGTTGAGCAGCACCTCCAGCTCCAGCGACGTGCGCACGTGGTCGAGCAGCGACGTCGCGAAGTCCTGGCAGCGCGCGCTCATCTCCTGCGCACAGTGGATGGCCGTCGCTCTGCGCTCTCCTGCCTTCGAACACGCGCCAGCTGTGCAGTAGGGGCAGTGAAAAGTAATTCAGATCATTGATTGATGTTCCCGAGCACAATAAATGCTATGGTCGTCCTAACTGCTATGTCTGTCTAAATGCTCTGGTCTTTCTAACTGCTCTGGTCTTTCTAAACTGCTCTGGTCTTTCTAACTGCTCTGGTCTTTCTAACTGCTCTGGTTTTCTAACTGCTCTGGTCTTTCTAACTGCTCTGGTCTTTCTAACTGCTCTGGTCTTTCTAACTGCTCTGGTCTTTCTAACTGCTCTGGTCTTCTAACTGCTCTTGGTCTTTCTAACTGCTCTGGTCTTTCTAACTGCTCTGTCTTTCTCTTAACTGCTCTGGTCTTTCTAACTGCTCTGGTCTTTCTAACTGCTTCGGTCTTCTAACTGCCTGTCTTCTTTCTAACTGCTCTGGTCTTCTAACTGCTCTGGTCTTTCTAACTGCTATAGTTCCTGGTTTCTCCCTATCAGAATATCCTCTAACACCCAAGATACCCTCGCGCCTTAACAAGCTCCAAACTTCGACTTGAATTTAAAGTATGTGAGGGACAGGTGAGTGAGGAGTGAACAAATTGCTTGTGAGAAGGGCTTCTGTGTTATACTACGAACAATACTCCTGGGCGGCTCCACAGCGTTTTGAGGCCTGCCCACCCCGCGACGCCCGCCCCCTCCTCCGCGGCGGCAACAGCGACCGGGAGCGTGGCGCGTCCGTGCCTTTGTCGTGGCACTTACGACGTACTGGTCGTGGAACTCGTTCTCCATGTGCGAGAGGCGGCGCAGCTCGCGCGACAGCTCGAAGGCCGTGAGCAGAGGGTCGCGCGACGACAGCGCGATGAGCGACGGCGCCGTGAGCGCGCGGTACGCGTTGATGCGCGCCTGCGAGTGGCGCAGCGAGTCCGCGTCGCTCGACGCCACGCACTCGTCGCACCCGCACCTGCCGCGCGCAACACACGCTCGGTTGGCACGAGGTGAGCAAAAACTACAACATATGCACTCAACCGACAAACGCCTTTGCCAATGGGTTCAAGTCGAGAAGAAACGTAAATGTACAAGCGAAGATATATCGTATTGGTAAAATGTGCCGGCGACGATAAATTGTATTGGCAAAATGTAAGGAAAAGGGTGTAGGGAAACAGGCAAGGAAAAGGTGTAACTAATTTACCACTAGATAGAAAGTGTGACAATTTCAAACAATATAATACGAGAAAGCCGTAGCAGCCGCAGACGTCAAGTTGGAGAGGGCGTCAAGTTGGAGAGGGCGTCAAGTTGGAGAGGGCGTCAAGTTGGAGAGGGCGTCAAGTTCTAGTTTTTACGCTTGCCTTACAACTTATTTTCTTTTTCTTCAGATAAATGCCAGTTTTATACTACATGGCAACTGCGCTTATATCCGGTGTAGCGCGTATTCGCGGAAGCCTCTACCTGACGTCGTGCGGCACGGGCAGCGAGGCGCCGCGGTCCAGCAGGATCTTGAGGATCTCGTAGTTGTTCATGTGCGCCGCTAGGATGAGCGGCGTGATGTCGGGCGTGAAGGTGGAGGTGGCACGGTCAACCGCCTCCCAGCTCTGGAACACACACAAAAACGAGCGTCGGTGTGTAATTTCAAGGGGGAGAAATACGCACCACATTATTTTCCTCAATTAGAAGAAAAATGTTTGTATTATTGCTTAATAACGCTTCGTTACTGTACAGAAGTTTCTGGACAATTTTTTATAATGTTCAGAAGGTTGTGTTTAAAGCCAGTCACAGCGTTGAGAACTTTTCTAAGTCATGCTGAAGAAAAATCTATTACTTCGGACACACGAGGAAAAATTAAAATGTGTAAATTGACATAATGGGGTGAGTATTAAAACAAGCTGTATCACGTGCCGTGTTGCGATGACACCCGAGCTCACGAGTCGCCCGTCATAATTCGAGTGCACTCGCTGTTTACAAACAACGTCAATGGCTTCCCGAGTTTTTACAGAGGCGCTTCGAGGCTTGGAAAGGAGCACAGAGTACTGATTGTCTACTGGCAGCGAGGAAATTGACAACTTACAAAAATGATTTTCTACGAAAATCTATGCTTCTGGTGCAAAAACAGTCAAGGACGTATTTATCGCTACTTTATGAGGAACACGCTAACGTGTTTTTACTTGAAATATCTCGCACTTTATACAATATGCTAACATTATAAGGGTTAAAAAAACAGCAATATAAAATGTGTGCTTCTACTGGAGAGGGAATTACCATCCAGTTCTCTATTCTGACTGAAGACCGTACGTGGCACGTTTTTGTTTAATTCTTCTCCTAAATTTACTGTTTCAAATTTCACATTTCACCCGACTGTTGCCCGAAGGTTATTCCAAGATCACCCCATCATGATAAAAATTTATATAGTGTGGATCTGACAGGCCGTCTATAGACACACTCGGCAGCGAAATATTTACGTAATGTAATTTGTTTGTTTCCTGGGACTGGGAGCTCTTTACTCATAAATAATAATACTTCAATTATCAAAATTTCATTATGTATTAAGCTGTCAATCATGCATGGCCAAATTTTCTCGTAATCATTAATTTAAAAATTTTACTTTATCACAAAACGTGGTCTTCTTACAATGGAAAGTACAAATATAAATAAATGTTTCCTGTTTTGCTACTTTCCTTCCGGAGATCCGCCGCAATTTTGAACGTCGTCCAGTTTCCATTCAGCCTCCATTTCCAAAGACTTTGGTCCACTTCAATGATATCCGCGTTCTCCACACACGGAATTATATATCCTTTCAAATTGTACACTTAATTCCTTGACATCGCCTTAACACAGTCACAATTCAGACGAATTCTTCCTGCAACCAAGTTGCTTTCCCTTTTAAATCTGCCTCACAATATGTCAAACATCGTCTACCCCGTTTTCATTTCGCGCGCCCTGCATCTGTCTCTCATCTCACACGATCTCGCTCCTGATTGGTCACACACATTTAACGTAGAATCGGTTTATTCTTTGGTTTCCTGCTCGTAATAACTTAATTTATTTTCTACCCCACAGAATTTGTTCACGTGTCCTTTCCTTGCGTTATTTATTAACATATTATACATTTCCCCCACTATCATTTCCGTTGTCCTTTCCTTATATTGTTTCCAAAATAAAACTCACTTCATTTTCTTTTCAATACCCACATTGTTGCTAACGTCCATATTTACAAATATGTAAATTTATTATTCCTATATAATTATCTTTGTGATAACTCATTACACTATCAAACAGATTTAAGAGAGAAAATGTTCTCAGATTAAGACTTACGTACATGCAACCCACAAATTGAGACTTCTTTGGACTTGATTTTGCGGGGCGCTCTCCTCCTTAGTACGGATTTTAAGAATACAATAAAATCTTTCTAAGACGGAACCTATGTAAGACGGAAACCTGCAGTCAAGGGCAAACTATCTCAGAACGGACGATTTTATAGTGAAAATGACCTTTTTCAGATAACGTAAGTAGATTATTACCTCGCTAAGACGAAAATTTATTTTTAAATTTACAACACTGTTTTTGGAATGGCAGAGTGCAAATAGTATCTTCCTGAGAAAACACGCTAAGGGATAGGTTATTTCTCTTTCGGGGAATCTTCAACGAACACGGCGACTCTCTCACTTAAGTATGATTTTCAAAGTCGTAACAAGCCCGACTTGGTCGCGTTCGCTCCGGGTTCTAAACGTTGACGTTGATCGTCCGCACCCGTTCAATTCTCAAAAACATTACCACGTTTCAATCAGTCGACAATGGAATTCCGGGAAGGCTGTCTTGTCATTTTCTGTACTCCGATTTAAACTCAGAGGCACTTCAAGGTCACGAGCTGGTCGGAGAGGGGGGAGGAACACTCATCCAGTTAGTCATTCTGTTATGACTAAAATGTTGGTATTTGCGCTCCCGTTTGGAAGACAATGTCTCACCTCGTCCTTCCAGTTCGTGTCCTTGAAGTGCCACTATGTTTATAGCAGAGTATAGCAGTCGTAGAGTTAACGAAAAACAGACCACACAAATTAGTGACCGCTCGCAGTGCAGTGGCTATGTGCTAGTGTGTCAAAATGTCTTTTAAGCGTTCGTGCTAAACAATTTCGCGGCAGAATAAAATGGAAGTTACTGGAGAACACTAGAAGAAAAAAAAAGTTCTTGAAAAGGTTGCGGAATTCAAACTAAGAAAAACTCAAAGTGACATATGATATTTTACAAAAAAAATGACAAAATTTAAAACGGGTGGTTATAAGGGCAAAACTATATCGAAAATACTCTACTTAAGTTATACGGTGATTTTTTTTGTGGCCACCTTCTATATGACGGAAATCTGCTAAGATGAAACTCCTTCGAAGGAACCTTCCAGTTCAGTCTTGAACATGTTTTACGGTAGTTTTAGGTTAGTATTCAGGATCAAGCTATTTTTACATTTAAAACAATGATTTGTTGTTGCAGGAACTTTGCAACTGTCCCGTGACATAATGCAAATAGAATAATGTCAATACTAAAAAAAAGTCTCCTTCAGAAAATACATTTGCAATATATTTGCCTTCCCTCCAACAAGAAATATCTTGAGTCACACATTTCAAATCTGTAACTTCATTTGAGACTCATGCGTTTACAAAACTAATATTAACTAATTAGATACGTCCCAACAGTCCCCCGTTTAAATCTGTTTTGCTGGTTGTTTCTTGGACCTTTCTTACAACATAATATGCAAAATTCTAATGTTTTTGTCGTAAATTTGATACACGCCTATGTATCATTTTCTACTTAGCAGAAGTACAATTACGGAACCTTGTGTCGATGATATACGACAAATCGTGCAAAACAATATTTCCTTCCCATATTAAATATAGAGGGGATAGAAATAGAACGACCCAAAAATTAAGATGCTTGAATTAAGACTGTATTAAATTTAACGAACGAATGAATATGTGGCGTTGAGAGTAAAGAAGAGGGGAAAAAGGGATCCATTGATAACTGGACAGGTCAGCAGAACCTGTGCCTTGTCGATGGACGTCGTTATTGAAAAATTGAGCCCTTTCAATTGAAATACAGTAGTGTAAACGTTACCGTGGAATTTATTTAAAAAGGAGGAATAGAAAAAAAGGATTTGTGTTGAAAATTACATTTGTTTTAGAAAAGACTCATTGAGTTTTGCGTTGTGAAGTAGAAAAATTTGAACCAGTCCAATAATTTTTTAAGGAAATAAGGAAATAATGAGGAATTTTGTGAAGTCTTGAGAAAGCTAATTGTTCAAAGAAAGAATCGTTTTGGCTGAAAGTAGTGCAATTGTTTTTAATAAAGAAATATGAATGTGTGAGTGATGCTCTATTTAGAAATTTGTAATTAGTAAAAAGTTTGGGTTCAACTGAATCACATGGTACGTTTTTAGCAAACAGATAAAAATAAAAACAAACGTATTGCTTCCTTATTTTGATTTATTATTATTATTATTATTATTATTATTATTATTATTGTTGTTGTTGTTGTTGTTGTTTTTGTTATTATTTTTTAATTGAAAAAAATTGATTTTATTTCAAAGCAGATATTCCCTGATTGGCACTCTTTCAAATTTGAAAAAGTTAATATTGCTCTCTAAATAAATTCAAAAAGTTAAAGGATTTTATTATCTTTTATTATGATTGTTGTTGGCGTTGTTGTTATTATTGTTATTAGTAGTAGTTAAATTAATATTAATATTCATATTAAAATTGTTAAAAACAAAATGTAAATAGTACAGAAAAACTATTTGCAGCTTATTGACGTCATAATACATAATGTTTTGTTCTTAGTTTTAATGAAATTGCTGTGAATTCTTGCGGGACGTGTTTGTTAAGCGGTGAAGGCAGAATTCCAGTTCAGGCTAGAAGGGATTAAAAATGAAACGTAATAAGCTTCAGGAGGCCATATGAACTCTCATTTTTGACAGTCTTCATTCTTCATCTTTGACACGAGTGTGTTCGCCCAGCCGGGTTTCATGATGAATGTTTTTCGCTGTATTCCCTTTCTCAGAGTCTTTCCACGTGTAGTTGAATGCACTTGGGTTCACTTAGGTCGTCTCGCGAGTAATTCGGTATTATGCGGGATCTATGTATTTGATACCCCTTAATTGGGATCACTGGAGGTCGTTAGGCAAAACGCAAACCCTCATTAGTAATTGGTAATAATCTGACATTCAATATTTGGGTGAACTGATTCATGGTGACAAATTGGTTAACAGCACTCAAGATTATAAGTGAGATTGCATTTGATTATTGTACATGTATATGATTGTTAATATTTAACAGTTAAATGCATTAAGCACAAGCACCTACGCCATAAGTTTTCGAATGACGCTGATTCTCGACATTGGCCAACTTAAATTATTGATTTTTTATGGTTTCCAGCGCGTCACTTTCCAGTAAGTGTAGTGCTTGTTATAATTGGTTAAGGTCAGATGCCGCCAACCTACACGGCTGCTTTTGCGATTTCCTATTTTGGATATCTCCCCAGTGGTGACCTGCTTCAGCCGTTACTGCTCAATTTTTCTAGGGTGGCCGCTGGGATTCGCGAGTAGAGAAGGTGTCATGCAACACGACTCGATCTGCTGTGGGGAACTGGTCGTATTGTATACCCTTCTGAGAAAATAACAATACTTTCTTCTATTTTTCTTATTTTAAGTTAATTCTGATTTAATTCCTATTTTAAACAAAAGATAGTAGAGTGACAGAGACAGAATCCTAAGGAAGGTGAACCATAGGAAGAAATTGTTGACTCCTTTCGTTACATTGATTGGGGCAAGTCAGGTGTTAGTTGTTATTTGACGTATCTGTCTCATGGTAGGGGACTCATTTTCCCCTCTTTATCTCATAATAAAACCTCAAATTAATAAGTATGAATATGTTTGTAAAGAGACGTACGGAGACGTCCCACCAAGCTGTAGTTCACATACATAAAATATTGAGTATTTTACTATTGTTTTGTAAGAAATAAATACGTATAAATAAAAGGACACATTTTTCAGTTTCTACAGCATTAAATGATTCACATGACTTTCAATTGGTCGCGTTTTCATGAAACATCTTAAAAAGTTGCGTCGTAATCTGTTTGAAACTAAATTATCAAATTTTGCTTGCAAGACTTCCAAACGGTCCTGTGAAGTTTTAAAGAAACAATTAATAGACGTCAAAGTGAAGATGAAAGAAAATAAATTTACAAGTTTGCGCAGAACGTGTTAAGTTTTCGGAAATGAGATTTCTTGTGGATATGACTTGTCAATCGCATTGTAATGATGTTTCGAAATAACTGCGCGGAAATCACGAGGTCGTGAAAACAAGAAAACAGACCTGGTAAGGCTTGTAGCGTTGAGGAATGAATACGGTTTGAATTACGACGTATTATTAATATTTTTACATTTTATTGACTCTTTTTTGAAGATAATCAAAACGACCTTATACCTAAATTGTTCTGGTAGTTATTTTTGTTATGTAAGCAACATTTTTTTGGCAAAAACTCAGGGTTAATATTCTTATTCCATTACAATTTTATACCCAAGTTTAAAAACTTGACGAGAAGAAACCGGTCTTGTGTTACGTTTTTATACATTATTTCAATTGATACATACGCTGAAGGAACCGTGAATACATTTAAAATGAGCTTTGATATATCATTATTAGACAATTAAATTGGAATAACAAATTGAATTTAGATATTTAATTTCATATTATTAGCCTTAACACTAAAACTAGCAGCGATAGCTCAGCTGCAATAATGTTGCCTCTGTGTAGCGATGATTAGGAGATTGTAGAGTTCCAGTCTTCACAGAGGCAGGTTTTCGACATTAGCTCCACAGCTAGGTTGCGTTCACCGTAGTTCGAAGGACGTTCTAGCGACCGGCTGCTGAGTAGTTCTCTGAATGTTTTATATGCAAATCTGGCACTGCCGGAGCAGTACGTTAAGAAGGCTAACAGTACGTTATTTGGGCCTCGATCGCGCTAAATCTTTCTTTCGTCTTCCTTGTCCTCTCATCTCCCCTTACGAGTGCATGCATTACATTGCCACACATGTCGGGATCCTATGGTTTGTTCAGGCTGGGAGCCTTGCTGGGAGATACCTCGAGAGGAAAAACCTCTCAAGCCGACGCCGTTGCTGTCAGCGGTGGATCTCACATTCATGCAGGAGAGGAACTCCGTCTCCTGATGCGATATCAAAAGCACTTCACTCACGGAACTAATGGCTGCAGCGGTTGACGCACCGGTACTCAACACTAAATCACTTAGCTTCGCGAGCAGTCCTACAGAGGTTAATAATTCCCAATTGCTCGTTAAGTGATTGTAATTACGTTAAGTTTTGATAGACATAGAGATCAAAGAACAAGTAAAATGTTCACAGCAATCGACACTACGAGAGTCATTTGAGAGCTTCACGAAACGGGAAGTGACCACGTAATTTTCGTACCATTTCGAAAAGAGAGGAAAATGTTGAGGTTTGATTGATTGATATATTTATTATTTGTGTTTGGGGCACGTCAGCGGCTATGACCATATATCCCGTAAATGCAGTGCGTGTGCTATCATGGAACATGATGTGTTGTTTCTCAGCTGGATTGTGAGGTCCGGCGTCGCTCAACACGTCGGATTGCGCCGACCAGGTGTCTCTCCCCTGGGGGACATTGTCAAGCTGTAATCTCCCGACACGAGCAGTTGTGTAGTGTACGTGTGTGAGCGTGTGTAAGTAAGGAGTGAGAATAAGACGTCATCCCGCGTGAGTGTGCGTGAGGGAGAGAATGTGTGTGCGAGGAAGAGTATGTGTGTGCGAGTGTTTGTGGGGGGGGGAGTATCTATGGGCGAGTGTATGTGTGCCTGCGAGTGTGAGTGTGCGCGCGAGTGTATGTGTGTCAGTGAGTGTGTGTGTGTGAGAGCTTGTGTGCCAGAGTGTAGGGAGTGGCAGGGATCTTGGCAATGGAAACAAACTAACGGCGATTTTGTGCATTCGTAGTCAGATGAGGGGGTGTGGGATATTAGCTCGACATTGTGCTTGAAGACGTTGGCATCGCCGGTGGCAGCGCAGTGTGTGTGTGTGTGATGTGTGTATGGAGGGGGGGAGATGGGTTGGGGTTGAAATGGAGCTAATGGCGGGTAGTTGGTTAGTCGCAGATTCAGAACGCCTGGGGCGCATGATTTCTACCGGAAAGCGCGAGAATAGTGGGATTAATAAAGTCTGCGCACCGAGAGCGTGGCGGGCGGTGCGGGCGCGTGGCGTGGCGTGGCGTGGCAGCTGGCGGGGTGGCGGGGCGTGGCGGGCGTGGCGGGCTGCGTGGCGGGGCGTGGCGCGTGGCGGCGATGGCGGGGCGTGGCGGGCCGTGGGGGCGTGGGGCGTGCGCGGCGCGTGGCCGGGCGTGGCGGGGCTGGCGGGGCGTGGCGGGCGTGGGCGTGGGCGCGTGCGGGCTGTGGGGCGGCGGGGGCGTGGCGGGGCGTGTGCGGGCGTGCGGGGCGTGGGGGGGTGGCGGGAGCAGTGTTGGGTTCATCAAATTGCTCGTTAGCGAGCGCGCGGACGATCGGGGTAATTGAGCGCCGGGTGTCGCTTATGTTCTCGTGTGGCGCTCGCGAGACCTAAGGACCGCTGCGCCCATGCGCAGAGCTGCTGGCCGTTTTCCTTCTTCCCTTTGCGCTAGGGGAATAATACGCTTTGCCATTGGCGCTGTGGGAGATTTTTGCTCCACCTAAAGCGTGAACAGGCCCTCATATAATTCTACTCCCCATCTCATCATACTGCCAGCTATATTATTTTTGAAGATCCTCGGATTTTGATAATCCGTAAGTTACACTGGTCGAAACATCTATAAACGAAAGTTGGTCTCCGTGTTTATTCGTTAGAAACAGAGAAAACTGTAATTGGAATTGTGAAAAAGGATGGCAGTGTGAAAAAGAATGGCAATGTGAAAAATGATGGCGGTGTGGGGAAAATGATGGCGGTGTGGGGAAAATGATGGCGGTGTGGGAAAAGGATGGCGGTCTGGGAAAAGGATGGCGGTTTGGGAAAAGGATGGCCGCGTGGACAAGGCAGTGGGATGGTGCTTGAAATGCAGTTGAGAGTTGAGTGAGTTGGATGAGGAGGGGCGGAGGGGACTGTACTCACGTACGGCTGCCCCGGCATGTGCTTGCGCTCCTCCCACTCCAGCAGGATTTCCACCGCCTCCACGTACTCCTCCTTGATGGCGTGCAGCAGCGCATCCTGCAACCCGCAAAGCCAATGAGCGCACACTCAGAAGGATGAAAGTGGTTGAATGTATTCAATCATGTCCTAATCGTATAGTTGAAGTAAACACCATTCTAATTATGAATCTCTTTGGGTATTTGGTAGGTTTTATACAGAGGATCTCAGAATAAATTAAAAAAAAGTTGAAGGGCATGTAGAGTGTTAAAGACAATAATTTTTGGCACGGAACATATGTCGAGAAATTTCATGTAATGAAGTTGTCCGTGTGACAGTAATTAGTACGCAATCCATCATAACGGGTCTATCTCTTTGTCTGTCATAATGTAAAGCATTATCTTTTAATTTCATGTTAAAACTCTTCGGGTTTATGTCAAGTCTGTAGGCATCCACGAAAATGTAGTAACCTGAAATGTCTTCCGATGTTTCTCTTTTAGTGCACATTGCCAATGGAATTTGGCCTTACATCCGCTACCTTAATTTAAACCTAAGATGTTGTTCTTCTCAATAATCAGTTGAAAGGTTCTCTACATAAACTTCATTTATCTAGAATAATTGAACGATGACGTGCAATGAACACATTGGTCACGGCGACAACCTATTTATATAACATATACCTTTTGCATTAATAACGAATTTTTCATATATTTTTTGTTTTTAAATATATTCATTCTTCCTGTTTAGCAGATCATGTTTAATGCATAAACCGATACATAATATGGACAGTTTCGATTTTTATCCTAATTTTCGCTATTTTTCTTTCAGTTAACTTTGACATTAGCCTAAAGGTGATTATCTTTCTTTTTTTAACTATTTTACATGTTATTTAGACGTGATTTTGTCTTAATTTTTCAATTTTTATCCATAATACAAATGTCTATGGCGGTCAAAACTCATCTTTAGGGAAACGAGAATGGATTCTGATTCTATAATTTGTGGTTTGCCAAAGTTGAAAATAGTACTGCATGGTAGGAACTGTAGTTTAGAATAAAACGATTCACTTAATTTTGACAGAAATTCAGTTATTGAAGCAATTGATAATTTACGACGTATATCACTATTGCTAATGAACCAAGGTTCTTTAATGATTTTAAATAAACATTTGTTTTGAACCGTTTGTAATAATTTGATGTGACTTGGTGCGGAGTTTTGGCTTACAGAGCAGGCATATGTTAATGGGGGACGAATTATTGATTTAAGTAATATACTATTTTTGACACTGAGTTGTGATTTATAGTTGATTAGAGAGTTAAGTTTCCTCATTTTAGCGTAAGCTTTATTTGAGAGGTTCCGTAAATAGGGTTTCCATATTAATTTTTTATGTAATAGGACTTTGAAATATTTTACTGCTGGAAGGGAGCCAAGGGACTTCGGTATTTTCTATTTTTAACTCTCCAAGTGAAGGCGGTCTATGAAAGGTAAAAACATTACTCTGCGACTTTTGGGGGTTAATATTTATTCTGCAGGCTTTTGTCCAATTTATATTTTTTTTAAATTGACAAGGATGCAATAATAAGCTATATTAATGTCCTCGTGAGCTCTGAAGAGGGCCGTGTCGTCCGCATAGAAAGCGATCTCTTTGGCCTACCGGAGGAGGGAAATTCACCGTAAATATGGTGCATATTAAGGAGAAAACAGGAAACTTCAAGTACAGAGGTACCTCAAGTTCGTTTTACTGATGTTTTCTCTAAACTATTTAAACTTTCTAATTATTTAAAGCATTTTGGGTCGTAATGATCCTGAAACGGTCCTGTACAAATTTAACTATCGCTATGGAATGCTAGTAGAATTAAGTTCATTTTGCTGAGGACCGCGCCCTTCTGCTGGAGGGATGGGGCGGGGTTGGTGGTGAAGTGAGGTGGGGGACGGCGGTGGGGGGTGGGCGGGGTGGGGGGGTGGGCGGGGGTGGGGAGGGCGGGGCGTGGCGGGGTGGGGCAAGGGTGGGCGGGGTGGCGGTGGCGGGGGTGGGGACTTGGCCAGGTCGGGTGGAGAGCGAGGTGGGGAGGGACGAAGCGGGGCAGAGCGGGCTGGGTGTGGCATGACGTGCTGGGCCGAGATAGGCATGGGCGGGACGGAACAGGACGGAGCGGGGGGCGGGCGGAACTGAGCGGGACGGAGCGCGGACGGCGAGCGGGACGGAGCGGACGGGACGTGTGTGTGTGGGGCGTTACTGGCCTTGACGCGGATGCCCTCCTCGAGCAGCAGGCGGATGAGGTCGATGTTCTCGTTCTCGATGGCGGCGATGAGCGCCGAGCGGTTGAGGGGGTCCACGCAGTTGATGTCCAGCTCCTCGCTGCGCCGCGGGTACTCGCGCAGCAGCCTGCAAACGCCAAACCATCGGATTCTAACATCGCTCCAAGCGACACTCAGCTTCCGGAGACCAAAGATTTATGCTGCTATACATAAAGTGAAGTATATTATGCGATATATGACTGGATGAAAAGAGAAACGGTATAGCAGACATTTTATAAATTCTGAGAAAAATGAGTTTACTTTAGGTTATATTTCAATGGAAATGTATTTTCGTGGCTTTAATGAACAATTGAAATGAAATAGTTTTAATCATGAAACAAAGCACCATGAAGTTACAGTGAAGTTGACTAAAATAAACATTTGTCAGAATGTACAAAATGTCACTTTTGCCGTTCTGGTTTTCATTCATTCATATGTTGATGCTAATTGCTCACACCATGCGGTTGAATGCGGATGAGCGTGAAGGGGAGGAGTCTGGTTTGCTGAGAACGGGTGATGTGCGATGCGGTGAGAAGGAATTCGTGGGGTGTGTAGGCTATCCGGGACAAGCCGCGTCACTCACATGGTGGCTAACGTTTCGCCAGCGTTATTGTGGCCTTTTTTAAGACCGTACTGCTCCTGGGGTTAACGTTGTCGGCCAGCGTATTATGGCCTTTTTGTTAATTTAATTGTGTTTTTTTAAAATTGAATACGCTTATTTTACGAGACTCGGCGCAGACTCGGGCCATCAGGCCCGCTCTTCCGTCTGACCACGCAAATTTTCGCTACGCTCCTTTCACTCAATAGCAGGAAGGATCTCGAGGGTATTTCTGGGCGAGAAAACAGGCGATTTGAATTGTAGCTGCCAGAGGCCGTCATTTAGCTTGAAGATCTTTTACATGCAAGAAATGCGCAAATACAACATGCGGACAGCCGGCTTTACTTCCCCTCCGAAGGAAGCGTACGAAGGATTTTCTTCGCCCAAAAATCCACGGCTTCGATCAGGTTTAACCCGCCAACTTGGGTACAACAGTACACCATCGCCGCCGCCTTCTTCAAAGCGTACTAACGTTAGCCACCATGTCAGTGCCGGTCAGTGCCAGCTTGTCCCGGATAGCGTAGCCAACACGAACTCCGGCCGCGGAAGCGTACGCGACCATTCGCGGGGGCGGCGATCACCTCCTGACGGTGGCGCAGTCGCCGCGCTCGGCGGTGAGCAGGAACTTCTTCTCGGTGGCGGTGAGGGGCGTGTCCTGCGGCGCGCGCAGCGACTCGTGCGACTGCGCCCGCGCCGCGTCGTCGCTGCACCCGATCAGCTCCTCCCGCGACCCCGTCGCCTTCATGGCGGCGGCGCCTGCGGCCCCCTCGACCCCTCGGCTGTGCGACGCACCGAGGGAACTAAACGCCCGGTCACAATGCAAGTATAAACATAAGCACGGCGTGAACATAAAAGTTAGGGCTACGCCCACAAGCGGACTCATTCACAATGCGTTCGTATAAGCATAACAAGTAAGACATTAACTTACAAGCTTGTGAGCTTCAAGCTTCTGTGCTTATGCTCAAGTTAGGCATAAGAAATGAACCAATCACAGAATGGTAACTCAAAATCGAGAATCGAAAGAGGTGCGAACTTACGCTATATGGGCCATGGACACAGTGGATACCTCGAAATCCATTCTCACATCCAACCAACTGTAATCTGAAATGTCTCACAGCCAATAGAAACTCTTATTTTGCTTACGTATGTGTTAGATATTGTGAATTCTTCAGTGTATCTCTAATGCCAATGGTTACGTCTATACGTTTTGCTTACGTTTACGTTTGCGTTGTGAATGGGCCTTAACGCTCTTAATGCGAATTAAGAAATGTTTTTATTGTGTTTCTCTTGGGCTTTCAATGTTCCTGATATAGCCCATTGAAGATGGGAAAAGTGTTCGCGAAAGTTGACTTTGAGTAAGAATGTTTTACTTAATACTAAAATTGAATTATTTCGAATTGAATTGATGCCTTATTTTACCTGGCGAGACTCGGGGGATCAGGCCCGCTCTTCGTTTGACCACACACATTTGGCTACGCTCCTTACACCAACTAGCAGAGAAAGGAGATATTTCGTGGGCGAGAAAGAGGCGATTTAGCATATGATTAGATCAGAGGCGTCATTTAGGATTGAGAATCTTGCAAGTAAATCTACTAACATGGGACAGCCGACTTTACTTCCCCTCCCAAGGAAGCCATACGAAGGATTTTTTCGCCCTAAAAAATTAACGACTTCGATCGGTTTTGAGCTCACCAACTTGGGTATAACAGTCTCTAACCGTTACACCATCGCCGCCGCATTTTGGTTTGGTTATTTCTTAATTCACAACGAATACCACAAAATATCTGCCGCCACAACTGAATTTTAAAACAACGCATCTTTAGGAAACTCTAAACTAAGACGGGAAGCGAATGAGAGCCGTTTGGCTTTCTACCTGTTCTCACTTTCCTGCATGCTTAAGTATATTGTTGAAGCTAGAAACGCTGTTCTTAATGAAATTTACTCTTCAAAACTGTATTTTTAAATTATATAAATGTTTGTGCTTTTTTGAAGTTTTCGTATGACTTTAAATCAAATCAAAAATTTTCCAAAATACTTATAAAAAACAAGATTTTCTTTAAAACAGCATCAATCTTTTCTTAAAAGTGATTGGATCGAAGGTGTCAGAAGGTATAAATATGGCATTTGTCAATTTTTTATTGAACCATCAGAAAACTTTAAATTTGCCACATTTCAACTTTTTCTATCCTGTTTAACATCTTTAGTAATGAAGCTGGAAACTTGTTTCTTCAAGTAATCTATTTCTCCATGCAAGATCTATAAATTACTTTATTTTTTTCAAAGATCAGGAATTCGTTTTGTGTTTTTTAACAATTAAAAATGTTGAGTGACATTATGTTGATTGTCCAAAAATATCTAAACGAGATTTTTGCAAAGACGTGTGTATTTTTAAGTTAATTTGTGTTTAGAGCAGTATTCACTAAATCCCTTTATTTTGCAATACACTTTTAAATGACCACAAATTACCTGTATTTTTTATCTCGCGTAAGAATATTCACAGTATCATTTTATAATTTAATGCGTTATATGAAAAAATGCTTCATATAATATTTTAAGCAGATGATCGAAATCTCAAAACTCTTAGTAAATTTATTTTCTTTCTTTGCAATCATAATAATTATTTCAGATGGTATCGTTATCTGAAATTATTTAGTTTTACTCTACAGTTCGAATGAGAAGCAGTAAATACCAGGGGCGGTCATTTTTTAAGATTTAGACTATGAGCACACTACGCTGATTACAGTGGAATAGTTTTATTTGTATTAAAACCTTTTAATGTCAAAAATTAAATATAGATTATATCGAATCACACGTTTTGTAAAATGAAGAGGGTTTTTGAGATGTTTCCAGAAGTATTCGTAGAATGCAAGTTTATGTATTATAATATTAAGTAACGGTTACACACTTTATAGAAAGTATGTGCTGTTTAGGTGTACAACTTTCTTTTGAATAGCTATAATAGTTTCTAAATACGAATATATGCAACGACGAACTTGCAAAATCTCATTTTTCTGGAGATACGTTATTTCCTATTGACGACAATGATTTGGATCTCCAGTCTTGCAAAAACTCTCTCTTGAATTGCGTCATCTGATGGCAAATCGGACAGATAGATGTGAGGCTTCCCACAGTCTCTGGTGCGGCGAGGGGACCGACCGCTGCTGAATCTAGGCCAAGGAAGAATTTCACACCCAGACGCTCAGTCAGCAGTCAGTCTACGAATAAATCGATGAGGTCGACCAGACTTAATTTCCTTGTGACCGCAGATATATTGTGGTAGTCGATAATGATGAAGGATCATAGGATGTTATTACACCTGTTTACTTATTTTTTTTCGCTATGGAGTCACTCAAGGTGGAATAAGAGTCCTGACTCATGTGTATGGCTAATTATTTTAAATATAACATCTATATTTTAAAATAAACTTTATAGTTGACATCTCCTGGATACTCAATTATTAATTAACAAGAATTGAATGCGGGTACCCCTTATATTATTATTTATTATTATTATTTGTTTATTTAAAGTCAGTTAACCTTTCCCTCATATTTGCGACCTGCATCCCAGGCATCGTACCCGACCTATTTCACCATAACAGTAGTTTCTTAATAGGTCGGATCCCCATCCCTTTCCCAGCGAAAGGAACAGAATGGGGAAAACTCTGGGGAATACTTCCCTGCACGTTTACTCCGATTCACGATTCTAGGTGCGCCAACGGCTATGGTTATTTGTCTCATAAGTGTAGTATATGTTTTATCACGAGAGGTGGTGGGGGTAGTGGTGGTGTGGGGGGGGTAGTGGAAATCTTCGTCTGCTGGATGCTGAGACCTTGTGCCGATCTACCCGTCGGCTCCATTTCCAACCGACGCGGGGCACCTCCCCAAAGATAAATATCTAAGCTCCTGACTGGTATTTGAGCATGTGTAGTAGTGTTGGGTGTGTAAGTGTGTGTAAAGAAGGGGTGAGGATAGGACAATGACGGGGAAGGAACGATCACGCGCGATGTGTGACCATCGGTTCACAGGTTAGGGCTTCGGACAGCGGCTGAATTCGATCGAGCTATCTCGCTAATGTCGAAAATCCTGCCACCGTCGGTACTGGAACCCTAGGACCTTCCGATCACTTCGACGTAACCCTCATTGCGCCTGTCCCGTTGACCGATCTCGGCTTTGCCTTTCTGTACCGCTAAGGGAAGCATCGTTTGCACCGTTACGTTGTAGCCTGTTCCCCGATGACAGTCTTCATTACCCAAGGATGGAATGAGAGGAATAAGAGTGAGGGTTTAAGGATGACATGATGGTTGGAAGAGACCCACTATACCACTGTACACAAACAAAACCCATGCCGGAGGTTAAATTGCAACCCGCGAATAATTGAGCTGAGAAACTTAACGACACATCTGCCTGAAAATCTCGACTACCCTGATCATCAGGTACCCTCTTAGAAGTTGGTGGCCTTTCATATATCTAAAATAGCTTTTAAGATGCTTTGAACTGATTGTGGATTAATTTTAAACATTTTAACTGTTAAGGTACAAGTCCATGTGTGTTCAGGAGTTTGATGAAAACAATGTTGTCTATGATTTTCTTGTGTATTGGCCTATTGTGAATATTTACTGTCATTAAGTTTTACAGAGATATTTCTTTAAATTTATTTCGGCTTCTATTCTTTTCTCATTTTTTTACATATTTATTTAGATATTTATATCGATTTGCATAATTAAGTGGTCTATAATTAATCATAAAATATATCCTGAAGCTATTCTCGGATATTGAAACCCACGCTGCTACTGGTAAATTAATTCTGTTGTTGTAATCGCAAATTAATACTGTTGTGAATATCTCTTTTTTTCAAAAAGACAAAGGCTACGACAATGAATAAATAATGAGTGAGATGGTGATACTTTTACAGAATTTTCAATGATAGCACACGAACTTTACATGAAAACATATTGTTTTATTGAATAGTAAAATAAAACATGTGTGAATTATACTCCTGACCACCATGAGAGCGTGTCAACGGTAAAGTTCAGAATATTAGGTAGAAAGCCATCTACACATACCTCACATTCAGCAGGGAACACTTTACGAGTGGGAAAGCTCTCACTTGGAGCATGTGACAGGTCCAAATATTGTCAGGACTGGATCGAAGGCATAGCATTTGTGAGGGAGGGGGGGCATCATTAAGGAGTAGAGGAGGCATACAAGCGATCGCGCGTTCATGGCCCGTTCGTTGCTGAATGATCTGCTGCTACAGCCGCTGGAACTGACGTGAATGTGTTGCGGAAACTGATTCTTGCCAAAATATTACCACATTTGGGGCAAGAACCCTTGGCATCCCGGTATAGTAAGCTTTGCTTACTATGCATTCTACGGTTGCAATTTCAAACGCGGATATGTCAATTTGCTATGTAGAATTATGCTTGGTCTGAACTTGTACCTCGCATATAAAGTACATTATGTCCATTTTTACTTTCTAGTATATGTACGTATACGCAGTACGGATAAAGTTATGTAGGGTGAGAACAATTTATTTCGAAAGTTCAACGGAAATACAGGTTTTGGGGTCACCTGAAATTTTTCGAAAAATCGAATGTTTTGGGTAAAATTAAGCTTAAAAATGCACATTTTCAGAAATGCTCAAAAGATAGTTGCTTAAAAACTGTTCTAATGTTTTCAGAAAATCTGATGAAACGTGGAAAAATGTCTTTTAGGCACCAATAATTCGAAGCTGTCTAAAGGGTGG